GCATAGTACTGTTAGCAGCATGGTTCTGTTAGCAACATGGTCCTGTTAGCAGTGTGGTCCTGTTAGCAGCATGATCATGTTAGCAGCATAGTAATGTTAGCAGTCTGGCTCTGTCAGCAGCATGGTTTTATTAGCAGCATAGTACTCTTAGCACCATGGTCCTGTTAGTAGCATGGTCCTGTTAACAGTGTGGTCCTGTTAGCAGTCTGGCTTTGTCAGCAGCATGGTCCTATTAGCAGCATAGTTCTGTTAGCAGTGTGATTCTGTTAGCAGCATGGTCCTGTTAGCAATGCTGTTCTGTTAGCAACATGGTCCTGTTAGCAGCATGGTACTGCTAGAAGTGATTCTGCTTGCAGCATGGTTCTGTTAGCAGTGTGGTCCTGTTAGCTGCATAGTCCTGTTAGCAATGTGGTTCAGCTAGCAGTGTGGTCCTGTTAGCAGTGTGGTCCCGTTAGCAGCTTGATGATAATAACGACTGCGCCAACGGATGATGACTGCCCTCCAGAACAGCGACTGGCAGACACAGAATATTCAAAGTTCCCAGTGGAACTGAACTGTTTCGTAGAGTTCGGTCTGTTCAAGCAGATGTAGAATCATGGAGACGGCGCATGAGCCCGAGGCAGGAAAGGGGGCCAGAGAGTGGGGTTCTGGTGGAACAAACAGAGCTAGGTCTCAGCGATGGTCTGAATGGCTGTCCACCACGAACGTCTCAGCAAATTCCCTGCGGACTGGAGCGGTTCGGAGAGCGGTGGTTCATATCAAACCACCCTGCCAGACCCGTGCACCATGCCACCCTCCACAGCCCCCTTCCTCGGCTCCTCATAGAGATAGGCTGGAGGCACCCACAATAAGATTTAAGTGGGTTCAAGATGGGCAAGAGACAGTCTTGACCACTGAGACTTTTTTGAGAGAAAATTTATGGCCCCAATTTTTTTTTAACTTGTTCAAATTTCAAGCGACAGGACTGCACTGCTCTGCAACTCACGCAGAGAAGTTGAGAGCCACCACAGTCACTGGAGACATTCTGGAGAATCCCACATAAATGCTGTTTGCCAGCTGGTCACAGCCCAGTGAGATGGTACATTTAGGTGCTATCACTTACCTGACATAACTCACATGACACAACATGATCTGATGTTTTTTTTTTTTTTTTTTTGCACAATGTGATTTCATTTTCAAACTTAGAATGCAAAGTCTTATTTTACTTTAATACTGAGATGAAACCCCCCCTGAAATTACTGTCTGACATACACTACTTTGTTAGAGAGCTCTTGTTGGCGAGTCCTCCAAATTCAGAAATAAAAGGAGCACAGGAAACGTGAAAAATAGAAAAACTAATCTAAACATATAAATGTTAATATTCAAATTAATATATGCAAATCTGAATTTATATACATCCCTTAAACATTCAAAATAAAAATAAGCCATATTGAAAACATGAGCATATATTTCTGTAAATGTCCTGATGCTGCTCAATAATCCAGGTAGATAAATTTAACAAGGTTAAGACAGGTCCGCTGGATGGATTCTTCTTTACTGAAATGTTTCAAAGTGGACAAACCAGTTGAACCACTATGAGAAGGTGCTATTCATAAGACTGATTGTTGCAGCTCCTCAGACTGAAGAAGTCTTTTGGATGAAAGACGAAATAAGAATAATCCTTCTAGAAGACTGACTCAGCCTTGTTAGATATTTCTGTAAACTTTATATGGAAAAAATACTGAAAAACCCAAACCCTCCCCCCCCCCCCCCCCCCCCCCCCCCCCCCCCCCCCCCCCCCC